CTTTGGTCGAAAACGAAAAGCAGAGAGCGCATGTAAAATACCTATGTCATTATATGAGACATACTACATTCTATCTGGCGCGAGACATATCCCGCACAGAAAACTATTTTCTCATCAAAATAGTTTTACAATGCTATTAAAGCATTATCCATATCATGGAAGATTTAAAGGTGTTTATCATTGATCGAATTATAAGGCATTTTCTTCCACCTTCCAGTATGCTTCCGTGGTGTAACGGTAGCACACTCGGCGCGTCTCCGAGAGGTCCCTGTTCGAGTCCCTGCAAGAGAATTTCGCATTTTTCATATATTGCATCATTTTTTCCCCTGCTTCCAAAAAAAAAGTAATGTCTCTACAGAATGAGATAATATATGAAGGCCATATCAGGATAAAAGCCTGAGTAGATTAATGCTTTCAAAGTCGAAATCCACTTTCTTTCTGCTGTCGACAGAACAGCTAGTCCATTGGGTTAGGTGCTCATCAGCCTGTTGAATCTCATTGATGAAATAAACAAATTAAGAGCTTAATACAAGGACTTTACTGGGGAATATTGAAAAAAAGACAGGAATAAGAAGGCAATGTACAAGGTGGGGACATTGCTATTACAGCACAGGTTGGGCAAACAGTTAATGTAAGGCCAGGGTGTAGACACAAGTATAGATATATAGATGAAATCGGTGCAAATATTTAAACATAGCAAGCAAGAAAATAAACATTCAAGTACGAAAAATTAACGAGAATTAACATGAATGTATGCAATGACTAGAAATACAGTCTTTTGCAGATTGATTAAAGCGGCTTGTGGTCTGGATTTATCAGCGATGAACAAGTACAAATGGCGTTTATACGATGGCTTCTTGATCAAGATTTCTGTCATCAGAGAACTGTTTAGTTGAATATAAGCGTTTACAGGAATTGAGTGCGGCTTATCTGTATAGTAGTGTAACTCTTGCTACTTTTAAACTTATAGTGCAACTCTTGCTAATTTTTAACTTGCAGTGCAACTCTTGCTAATTTTTAACTTGCAGTGCAACTCTTGCTAATTTTTAACTTATAGTGCAACTCTTGCTAATTTTTAACTTAATTAAGCTTAATCTACTTTTTAAATTCTTTTCATAAGAAAAAAGTGCTGAAACATCTGACGGTTGTAATTTGGTGTATAAAGCAATTACACTGCTGGTCATAAAAATTGCAACACCAGGAAGGAGTGATCTGACGAAGTTCATTTAGACAACTCAGGAGGGAGAATCGACATCTGAAGCACTGCATAAAAGAAAAGTTGTGTAGTGGGTTTCTCATTCCGAAAGTGCCTTGTAAGGTTGGAGTTTGTTCAGAATATCGTGTTATGGCTCTAATAAGAACAGAAAATGCTTACCAGCAAGTTGAAATTCCATAGAGGAGGATCGATGCTGTTGTCATGCGAATATGTAATAAATGGATTGCTGAGGATCATACTGAATGACATGCAGGATCTCAGCGTTCTCCCATGTGTAACGCCAGAGAAGACATTATTGCAAATTGACATATTGTGAGGTGATCCTTGCAAAACCGTACGACCGCATCGCGGTCCATCAGTCAGGAAGTGGACATGTTTGCAGCACGCCCAGTATCAGCTCGTAAGGTGCGTCGACGTTTGCAGCAGCGTAGACTATCTGCAGGGTGACCATTACTTCGGCTTCCTCTGACAATGCAGCATAGAGAGAGACGGTGACTCTGGTGCGCCAAACGATAAAGCTGGGTACAAGAGTGGCACAATGTCACCTTTTCAAACGAGTCCCGGTTCTATGTGCAGTATTCTGATGGCCGTATACGTGTCTAGAGTGTCCGAAGAGACGCCTGCTTGCATTCGATATTGGCATAGAGGCCCTGCATCTGGTGTAATGGTTTGGGCAGCCATTGAGTACACGATACGTACATCTCTAGTTCGGACCGACGGTAATTTGAACGAAGATGAGTAAAACATTGCTGAAATCTTACGTCCACTGGTTGTGATCTTCGAGGCCACCAAACACCATGTTCCAACAAAATAATGCAAGATCACATGTTGCACGTCGTGTTCTGACCTTCCTCGATACACAGGGTATTCGATTGCTGTTCTGCCTGCACGGTCTCCAGTTCTATCACCCATTGAAAATTTCTGATCATGGGTTGCTGAGATACTGTCCCGTCACCCCTCTCCAGCTAATACGGTTGATGAAATGTGGCATAGACTTGAAGCAGCGTGGAATGAGTTGCCCATATCTGTCATCCAAGGCCAGTTTGACTCCATGCCTAATGGGTAAGGGCCGTTTTAGATGCCAGGGGTGGCAGCTGTTTCTACTAATTTCGCACCCCTATAAGCCTCCAAAATACTTACAAATTTAATCATTTTGTCTTCATGCCATACTGTTTACGTGCAGTAAGCATCTTTTTTGGATTTGCTTTCCTTCATGGTCTTGCAATTTTAATGTCCAGCAGTGTAATTCTTAAATATGCGTTAAAAATTGCTTTGGACACTTTTCCTTTCAGCAGGTGTTATCTCATAAACATGGTAGCTTTTTAAAAAATGGAAGAATTTAGGCTAAAATTTCAGAAGTTGACAAAGAGTTTAAGGAAATGCATCGCTTTGCGCAATAAGTATTGGAAGTCGGCAAAAAATTAAAGCAATCCAGCAAATATAATGCTCATTTTTAATCAGTTGCATGCTGCGTTTATTAAAAACATATTTTTAAGTATTTAAAAAAATGGTGAAGAGACTGTTTACTTTGTCTTTTGGAATTGAAAGAACTGTAAATCCCAAACTAAAGCTGTATCAAAAGCAAACTGAGTCGTGATGCTTGAAATGAAAGAATGCCGAGTGTTATTTACATATTGCTATAATTTTATACAAATGTTTGCTACTAAATCTTTCGTTTTGTTTTAAATTTAAAAAAAAATTATATTTTTGCTATCTTAATTTTATAACAAAATTATTTTTATGTGCCATAGGGCTGACTTAATGAGGTTTTACTCATACTACGATGGAAAACTGGATTTCCAAATATAATCGGCTCTTCTTGGAAACTCCTCTACAAAGACATTCCTCCTTAAAGCAGATAGCCCTTGTGTGCTTTGCATTAACTTATTAAACGAATAAAACAGTTAATAGATCTATAGTTAAAAATTACACAATATTTTAACTCAATCACACCAATCTGCGCGTTTTACCCCTCTAGTTAGTACTTATATCACAGCCAAAGATTAACACATCCATAGTTTCCTGGAATAGACTAGCGTCTGAATCAAAAATTGTTTTCTGGAAACCTCAAGTATGTGACCCTGTTTCTGAGAAATTGCCTGATATTGCCAATTTCACAACAGAAATTTGTCCCTAAAATATAAGTTTCAACACCATACATTTAGAATTTGAATGAAGTTATTTTCACAGCTCCGTCATGAATTTACTCAGAATTATAAATCTATCCGGAAGGAAAAGAATCAAATTTAAGTGACCACTAAATTAAAGATTATGCGAAATACATTATAAATTAATCTAAAAATACCGCAATATCGCGTGTGTTTTACAGGCTACAGACACGTAGTTATATTTGGACATAGGAGCATTTTGAGGTTCTATGTAACAAACGTCGCGCTTGTCAGTACTTCCTGCTTTGAGGTTTCGCCTTCGTCTTTTTTTTTTTATTATTATTTATTTATTTTTTTATTTTTATTTTTTTATTTATTTATTTTTTTTTTTTTGAGTAATAAAAGGGCAGAAATTCTCTAAACTGGTTGTGTAAGTTCTGTAACACTCTAGGAGATGTTCTTGCCTCTAGTGTCATCAAGTGACGACTGGAGCGCGTTCTCAGTGTTAAGAAAAGGACAAAACTTAGATATTACGCAGTTGAATTTATTTTTATTAACAGTTTATTAACAGAACTCAAATGTGATGAACAATTCGAATGTTCTGAATCGGTATAGTTTATACATTAAAAAAAGTATTAAGATTTCAACCTTAACCGTGGTATCTTCAGTATAAAATGCCGTTCTGTTTGCATTGTAACATTGGCTTCCATTTCGTAATGCAAAACTGCACTTTTTTAAAAGTAAACCCAAAGTGGAATTTTAAGTTATTTATTAATATTATTCGTAATGATGCTACTTCTTATGATTACCACTACGTTAATAGGTTGTCATTCATATATAAATCAGGAACCTGCTTATGAAATGACAGTCCCATTAATATGGCTATGCAAAGTGTTCATGGCCTTTGATATTTAGAAAAATTCCGGCAATTCTGAAATAACTACACAGGAAAATACTGTTCCATATCTATTGCAAATATGCGCAAGATTTTGCACAAAACTCCAATTTTTTCCCCACGAATTGAGACTACTTCAAATAGTTAAAATATGAATAAAGGGTCAGGGAATGTTGCCAGCACAGATTTATATTAACTGACTGTCATTCGAAGGAAAATTTCGTATTAAAGTTAGTGTTGCCCAAAAAGTATGTTGAGTCTGATATACCCTTACACTGTTTTCACTGAAGAAGTTCAATCAGACCCCAGCTGAGTGTGGTTTTAATTTTCGGACACCCTGCTTCAAAGTAACGAATGTTATTATAACTATTCCTACTCTCCAGCCACATAGATACTTGTTTGGACAGATGACTGCATGCTCTCAATCCCCGCTTATGGCTTTTAGAAGCATGTTTTGTAGATCAACGTTTTTTCTACCACTGTTCATGAATGCTTTCTTTCCCTTTCACGAGATGTAAAATTGCCTGAGTTTTTGAATCATTCCATTCTAAAATTCATAAAATGCCTTCATAAAAGTTACTTTCTAAACTATCTCTTTTCGTTATAAATTCAGTTTCTTGAAATGAATTCATTATAATGTACTATTTATGAATAATTGCTTTTCAGATTTTGAAAAAGGGATGTGAATGTGAAATTTTTTAGATCAAGATTTTAAAAATTGTTTATTGAATTACATTTCGTGCATAAATTGGCCTTTTCATGATGTGGCTTGCATTTACAGGTTCCATCCCCTGGATGATCACCGCCGAGCTGTTCTCCCATGGCCCGAGGCCAGCCGCCATGAGCATAGCAGTTTTTGTCAATTGGTCTGCCAATTTCTTAGTCGGTTTAGTCTTTCTTCAGATGCAGGTAAGTCTCCGTTCAAATAAAATGTAACCATTTTCTTCTGTCAGTAAGAGGAAAAAAAAAACACTTTCGGATACCAATCGTGTTTTTATACAAAAAAATTTGTAAAAGCGCTTCAGCTTAATTAGATACAAATTATCTTGTCCAGAAATACTCTAAGCTATACAGTAACGCTCGCTATGATGACGACACGTTTTAAAGACAAGTTTCTTACATCGAACGGTATAAATTCATTGGCATTAGTAAATTAGATCTATTGTCACTGTGGCAAACACGTCATACAACTGTTCTCTTTTTTGGTATAATGCAAGAAATCATAACAAGCATCAACTGTGTAATGAACTTGTGGTCACTGATTTCCTAAGATGACCATCTTTGAAACTTACTAGCATTTCTGAGGGTATAAACAAACAGCAGTATTTAGCATCACCTCCTCTCTCAGGTGCTCACCTCCACATAAGAACAAAATCATTTGGAAGTGTTTATAATAATAGTCTTGGACTGGGTTCGTTTTATTATGCAATGTTTCAGTATGGAAAGTATAACTTCTCTTACTTCTTAGAAATTGTTACTGCACAGAAAACTCGCCAACCCTGGAAGGTGTTGACAGTGGTCCAGTTAACTACTAGAGAACAACTGAGAACAGATAATACAACCCAAATTCTGATGAAGATATTTTCGTGGTTTCCTTCATGCTTAATGTAATTTTATATTATGCACCTAAATATCCACCAATTAAACACGTTTAATGTAAATACGTAAATACGAACAGCCGCCCAGACTGCATAGTGGTCAGTGACGATGGTTGCCGTACTGGGAAGGCCTGAGTTCGAAAAAATCGAAGTTCGAAAACTGGAGAAAGCATGGATGGTCTGAAGCGTATAATGTCTGTGCGGCAAGGGGGCACTAAAAATATACTATGAGTCAAAATCCTCTTGAAAGGTTGAGGGCAGGGAAAGAGGGACGAGAAATCCTCGGACCGCCCACCGGGTGTTCTTCTTTTGGAGTTCCATCCGGAGCAGAAACTTAGCATTTAGTGAGACCCGGCAATACCTAATATGCCTAGATCGATGCATTGATGTTGGCCTTGCTTAAACATATACCTCTAAATAAGAATAAGCTTCTATTAGAGAATCTTCAAGGAAAATATTCTTTTCTTTAGAGGAGATAATACTCCTGTGTTTTGCCTTTCGACTAAACGAACGCAAAAATTATACAAAAGCAGGATATTTCAAAGTAACTGAGTTTTAGATGATTTTTATTTCTAAAATTTACGAAAAAGAGGAGGATGCTCAAATAATGCATGAAATAAGCTGTTTGTGTGATTTCGTTTTACTTACAGAAAAGACGTTTTTTTAAGTTTTGAGATCATGTTTTTGGACCATTTTAATGAACATCAGCAGAATTCTCGTATATACCTCCACAACAACATGCTCGAGTTCTCACTGATTAAGGAGGCTAGTTGAGAAAACCGATCATGCAGTTCATTGCAATTGATTCAAAGCAGCAGTATATAACAAAAAAAAAAAAAAATAAATAAATAAATAAATAAAAATAAAAAAAACACTTAACAAAAATGCTCAACTTGATGACGATGTTCCAAAACTGAATTCTTTTCCCTATAGAGAGTTTCTCGCTTTTATCCTGTTAAATGAAATGTCGAGGAACCTAGTGAACTGTTAAGCGAATTATCGCTTAGTTCAACGAACAGAAAGCGAAAACTCAAAAAGGGTTAATTACACTTTATTCACTCAAAATCAGATTAATATTCGGCCCCTTTCTTCAGGCATACAGCAAAGCCTCCACTTGGGCTTAAACTCAAAAAGTAAGAACTAATTAATGACTAATTAAGTGATTTATCCGAAGCTAACACAATTCTAATGTAGTTGGCCCGTAATCTCAGACTAGCTACTGAACTATCAAAAGGCATGTAATAATACGGCCGAGCGTAACAACAGCTTAAGAGGACTTAGCCCAAAGGTAAACGCGAGCTACTCTCTCTCTCTCTCTCTCGAGGTCAGTTGAACTTGACTTTAATGCTGTTCTCTTCCTCATTTGTATTAAACGCGATTCTAAAAACTCATTCTGGTAGAGAGTTGTAAGTTGAAACGAGATAAGACAGGAAATATGAACTAAATTAAAATATACCTTATATTCCATTTGGGATATATTAATACGAAGTCAGCAAATATGGAATTATGCTCATCTGAAATTAGGTCAAGCATTTCGAATGACATTTTACCTGAAACTATGTTACTAGTGCTACTTCGGCATCCTTTCTTTAGCAAAGAAAGGAAAGCATAGATTGAGAGAAAGGTACCCGTAGCATGGTCACAAAATCCTTGCAAGTTTACAGCGTTATTGGTAAAGTTAGGAGTGCGTGCTGACCATACTTGGTTGCTGTGTTTTAGCAAGAAATACTGCTATCAATCAATGCTGATGAGGCGCATTAAGATTTCAAAATTAGTAGTAGTTGATGATAGGTCTTCAGTAGTTGATGATAAATTTATGGTTCTTATAAGGAAATCAAATAATTCTGATTTCCAAGCTACAGTAGCTCTAATCGTATAAAACATTTCAATAAAAATATACAATTTTTTCCCGTACAAGGTCGTAAAAATCTCCTATTGAGAAAAATATTTCTCACAGCATTAGATAAATTTATGGTGCTTATAAAAATTTGAGACATTATTACCCTTTTTCAGCCTATGTACATATATTTCTAAAGACAACTGTATATGTAAATTTTTCGAAATCCACTTTCTAAAATTTTAAATTCTGCATTTAATGAAAAGTGCTATTAATGGCCTTAGGTGGACTTTTTCTGCCTTTAGTCGTAGTTTAATTCATGCGATTTTATTAATTTTTTCATAGCCACATTTCCCTGTTTTGACCCCTAACTTCTTTTTCCCTACTTAGAGTTATAGAATGAACAACTTACAGAACAAATGACCTGAAGTAAAACTTATTTTTTATATTTTGACTAAAGTGTTAAACATCCAAATTGCTATATTTGAAAAATGTACAGCATTTCACTTATTTCTTACACTGGAATCGACTGGTTAAAGAAAAGAATGGAATTAGTTGAACGTTACTTTTTGTTTTGAAAGTATATAGCTTGAGTTATTACTGCTTATAGAAACTATGGTACTGGAGCTCTTATCTTAACGGTAGACAAGTTTTCGGGTAACTTGTCTACCGTTAAGATAAGACATATAATTCTGCTTCTAGTTTATTGAAAAGTATAATTACCGCTTGCTGGAGCTTTTCATTGTCAGTAGAAGGCCCTCCAACGAAACGCTGCTTGCTCTTCATGATAGGGACCAACCGCATTCACACAGCAGCTGCTTCAAAACTGCTGATCGGAGATTGGGGAGCATTCAGTCTACAGCCTGACCATGCTGCCCAGTGATTATCATCTTGCAAAAAACTGAAGGAGTTTTGGGTTTGAAAGCACTTTGCTGACAACAACAGCAGCGTTTTTTAGTAAAATGGCAATGACGTATACAAAGAATGAACCATCTAACTTTTGTAATTTGGATCAGATATATATTAAGGGGGGGGGACTTAATATTTTTTTCAAAACTGAGTTTATTAGAAAGATTGGACATTTTCATTTAAGAATCAAACACAACATCATTATGAATTCGATCAACCCGATTTTTTTCAGTACATTTTCTATTTTTTGGATTACAATCGCATGAATGGCAACTTCGATTTCGTGTTTCCAGTCATTAATTGTCTGTGGGTAGTAGCGTAACAATAAATCCTTAAAGATTCCCCAGAAAAAAAAAAATCCAACGGGGTCAAATCAGAGCTCCGAGGCGGCCAATTGACATCAGCATTTCGGCTGATTACTCGATTTAAAAAAACAATGCTCAAAAGATCGATGATTACATTGGCTGTGGGGCAAGTGGCGCCGTCTTGTTGAAACCACATGTTACGCATGTCATCCTCTTCCGTTTTTGGAAACAAAGCTTTGTTTAGCATGGCGCGGTAAAGTTCGCAATTGACGTTAACGGCGACTCCTTGTTCATTTTCGAAGAAAAATGGCCCAATGATGCTGCCAGACCAAAAACCACTTTGACCCCGTTGGATTTTTTTTTTTCGTGGGTAGGGGGAACCTTAGTGAATACATAAGAATAGTGTTACGCTAACCACCTGGAAACGACTGATGCCTTGAAACACCAAATCGAAGTTGCCATTTATGCCACGGGAACCCAAACAATATAAAATGTACTGAAAAATGGTTTGATTGGGGAACTGTCAAGCCAGTCGTGGCAACCATTTGAATGATGTTGTGTTTCATTCTTCAATAAAAATGACCAGTCTTTCTAACAAACTTATAATTTTGAAAAATATTCATTATTTTTTTTATGGCCGATTCAAATTCCAAAAGTTAGATGGCCCACCCTATATGTGACAAAACATGTCTGCTGGTGCGATGAAGTTTAAAACAAGCTACTGCAATACAGTGGCTTGTGTTATACAGTAATCCAAGTTATGCACTTTCAAAATTAAAAAGTTTTCTTTAACAAATCCCTTTTAATCTTTATTACTAAACAGTTATTGCTCTTTGTATTTACTATGTATTTATTCAATATTTCGTAAACATCATATGTATGGAGATAATAAAAAATCTGTTGTCATCTTCTTTTTGTTGCCACTTAGTTGTTTACTTCCGGGTGAATTGGTTTGTATTAGTATGTGTATAAAGTTTAAAAAAAAAAAAAAAAAAAGGCTCTTTACTAAAAGCGTTTTTTCTTCTTTTCTTCCTGCAGCGTTTGTTCGAGAATTACTCTTTTCTACCATTTACTGTTCTGTTAGCCATCTTCTGGACCTTCACCTACAAGAAAGTGCCAGAGACCAAAAACAGAACTTTTGAGGAAATAGCTGCCTTATTCAGGAGGGAAGAGGTGGTCAATGTCAATGGGCTGACGACGGTGGTCCAGCGAAAGCCGGTGCACCACCAGTCTGCCGAACTTGTCACGGAGGAAAAAAATCTAGAAACTTGTAAGACTAAGTTTTGAAGAAACCGTCTCTGCATGCATAATGTATGTGCATGAATCCCTTCCCATATGCCACCGCATGAGCATTCGAGAGCACAACAGTTTTTTTTGGGGGGGGGCAAGTACGTTATTTGAAGCTCATTTGCCCGACATGAGACTATTTTAATAGTTGTTACTTCTGCCAAGTGACATTACTTATATTCTAATGTTTTACTGAATGTTTAGCAGTTTTATTACGTGAGGAGTTTGACAGTTTACTTCTGTATTTTGTGTTCGATTTTAATACTTTCTTTGGTCCTATGTGAAGGAAAGCTTTTTACCAAGTGAAAGAACATACGAGACATTTTTTATAATTCATGAACAATGAATAGCATTTTACTGATAAGTTTTATTTAATATGTAAAGTTTGAGAATACTTAAATACTAAGTTGAAGATGTTCATAAATTATCACTAAATTAAAAAGAAATTAGCTTAAATTTTCAATTATTCTGTGTTTTGATCTGTGATAAAAACGCGTTTAAAGATTTTTTTTTGACATTTATCAACTCGTATCTTTGCGACTTTGTTTACTGCATATAGGCATCAAACTGATGCAAATATCTTAGAATGAGATGGCAAGACTTTAGTTATAACAATAGTTTTCTCGGTTACCATCTCACCACTTTCTTTCTGCAGAACACTAATCTCTCACTCACACCTACACAAAATAAAACTAAAATAAAAAATTAACGATGATTTTATAATACGTAAATGTATATTTCGAGTGATCTGGTGCTTCATATGTGATTGTCATTCTCATAATTTTATTAATATATGAGCATGTAAATTTTTCTTGACTTTTTATAAATTTTGCTAAATTAACACTTTGCAGCATAATTCTTTGGTTTATTATATCTTTTTAACATTTTCAATAAATGAGTAATTTATTGTTGTAATAGTACTAATTATTTTTTCTTTCTGCTTAAACTTTGATACACTTATTATTTTGTATTTAAAATTTTTAGATATTTATTTTTTGTATGGGGATTTTTCAACTTTCAACAACTTGTACAGACTTAATTTTTAAGTATGCAAATGAAAATATTTAAATATTCATAAATAGACATTTTATTTTTATTTTATTTCTCTTTGGGAGGGAGTGGTATTGACAGTAAACTTCAGGCAAAAATATATTTGTTTTACGTTTGGAACTTTACCATTAGAAAAATCACGAATTTGGATCCATTTTTCCTTTTTAGCCATAAAGTCTAGGTAAAAGTGAAATTATTTTAAAGAAAAAATAAAATCTCAGATTAATAGCAATTGTCCATTAGTTTAAAATATTTCAGCAAAATTTACAAGTAATATATTATGTGAAGAAAAGGGTCTAAGAAAGATATGAATTATATATTGTTTGGTTCGGGAAGTTCAAAAACAAGGACTATGATATTCAAAAAGCAGAGCGCTCTGACGAGCCTACTGATGAATTATGTATTATTTCTATTTTTCATTACATTGCAAATAGCACATGACTACGAGATACATATGATACATAGAATAGATGTATACATGACTGCGAGAAGTATCCCAGACAAAAATTAATTAAATGTTAAAATCAGCAGTTAATACAAAAATATTTTCCTAGTTATCACAAAAAATAACGGGTTATTTTGTAACTTTTGCTATTAATGTACTCAAATTTGATGTTAAATTCATGTTTCCTTCATTTCCAGTTCAGTTACTTTACTTATATTTTGATTTTAGAAACCTCACTGCTGAAAAAGCTGACTATCAAATTTCAATTTTGCCAAATACAGACGATACTTTATTATTGCATATGATGCTATAAAGTCATTTCTTTTAATGTCTGTTTCCCCATTCATAATACTTGTGTATCTCTCTTTAATTTGGCTTTTTGAACATTTTCAAAACTATGCTTATCTAAATTATCCATTCATGTCAGTTATGTCTCATAAGAGACAGAAAATGCATTCAATGAAGAAAGGATATCATTTTCAAATATCAGAATTTTGAAACCATACACATTTAATTAAAATTATTGCAGCTTGAGTTAGCTATATTTCAAATGTTACCAACCACGTGGGGATAATAAATGTTGTATTGGTTAGCATATATCTATAGCCATGGAGGTTAGAATAAACCATCTGATTCATTATTCCAACCTCCTTGTCTAAAAAAATAACTAAAATCATTTTCCTGTGCCCAGTAAAAATATAAAGTGTTTGCTATCCCAAAACATTTTAGTGGTGTGATGTTAGCTTGAGAATTCCTTTTTTTAATATAATGTTCTCATTTTTATAATTTCATATATAAAATAATTGCATTAAAATTAGAAATTCTTTTTTATGTGAAAAAGGCATTAAAATATTTTGGAAAATGAAATTATGGCAAATTTTTGAAATAATTTATAAACATACTTTTTGCAGGATATTTCTATGCCTTTATGTAATATACAGATCAAATAACTGTTTATTTTTAATTCTAATTCGAATTACCATCTCATTTGCATTCTTTTTTACTTTCTTTAACAAAATTATTTTCCGTATCCACTTTGCTCTCAATGTCTCTCGGCAGAACGATTTATGATTTTATGATTGGCTGCACAGTCAGTTTTTTGGGCAAAGCTGCATGTTTCCTTTAGCTCATAGAAATTCCTCATTTTATGATGTATTGAATTTTATGTCTTTAAAATTATTTATATTTGTCATATATACATATTCTTTAAATACATCAATAAATATTTGTAATAGTTTACATTTAAAAGCTCAAATAAAAATTTTATGTTTGTAAACTTCATTTTGTTTCATTTAAATTTAATTATACAGAAATTTATTTATATTTGATGTATTTGAAGCCATCTTAGATTACTTTAGCATTTCAGTAAGGATTTAAAGTTATTCTTAATCTATATGAGAAGCAAAAAATTTTGTTAAGACAAATTTTGAGTTAGTATTTAGTCATGAAATAAGTGGTGTGATTTGATTACTTTTAAAACAAATATTGAATGCTTCGATTAAAATAGTCCTTTTTTTTTTGTATATACAACGCATCTATAAAGTGTTGGGACTGAATCCGTTACAAATTGAGATCTGAAGAAAATAATTTTACCAGGTTTTAGCCTTATGCATATGATCCTTTTAGTGATGTAGACAAAGTGAAAATAAAAGGAGTCCCGTTCTTTATGTCCCGTTCTAGTCGGCTGATCGACCAAATTCAACTTCATTTTTCATACCTCGAAAGCGAGATTTAGGAGGTACATTAAATTACATGAAGCATTGTTCTAACATACGCATACGTATTTTGGCACAAAATATGAATTTTTCTTAAATGACATACAGTCTGGTTTTTTCACCCATATATCGAAGCTTCGTCTCAAGTTATGCCAAAGTACGTCTTCTGAAAATCACACAGGCTTTTTTTAAATTAGTGCTTAAATTTTAATTCTACAGTACTGATTAATTTAGCATTTAATATCGCTTTTTTAATTATGCTTAATTTGATTTCTTTTTTGAAATTTCGGAATTTAAGTTTAATCTAAATTAAATTTACACATTTTTTTTATTTACTTTAAAAATTTGTATTTTAAATAACTTAAATTTTTCAAAGACATTTTGAATTATAATCTATAAAACATGTTACATCTTAAAGTAGATATATTTCTAGGCATATCTGGAAACATTAAAGGTTTTTCTTTAAAATATACGAAGATAAATGTGAATTTGTATATGGACGCGTTTTGAAATTTGTTATTCTTGTTGTAAGCGATAGTAACATCAAATGTGTTTTACGCACTTTTATTACCACAGTTAATTTTAGTCCTAAATTTCTACTTTTTTACCAAGAACTATTTATATAGAATTTCTTATTTTTATTAGCGATGCACAACAAATATTCATAACATCATGAAGTGATTTTGTAAATTATAAGGAATATTAATAAAATGTTTAAAGCTTTGTAATTTGTATGTATGTAGCATTAAATTTTTACCTTCGCCATGTTAAGACTATTTTATTTTATCTTCCTTTAAATCGAATTTTCAGAAATTTGAGAAAGTTGGATTGACGAAATTTTTTTAAATAATTAAAATAATTACTTTTTTTTAGTGTAAAAACGTGTTGTACCAAAATTATTCTAACTCTGTAAAATTTTAGTATTTTATGAAATCGATGAATAATAGTGAATTTAACTTACTTTATTATATAATAATGATGGTTTAATGGTTTTCATAATATTTTAATTATCATTAATTTAAGAACTTTATCGTATTATTAAAATATAATTTAAAATAAACAATAAATTACTATTGTTGTCTTAAAATGTTACATTCCAAAGAACTCGTAAATGCAAATATTACGAAATATGAGACTTTTCAAATTGTTGGTGGCTAGAATCTGTGTCAAAGGATGAATATAGATTGAAGCATTACATGCAAGTACAAGCAAAAATCAAAACACTAGAATATGTAGGGCTATATCCAAACCAATATAACAAAGTAATTCAAAGAACTAAGATTCGTTACTGCAATATATACAGACATGTTAATGAATAGTACATAAATTAATAATATCGGCTTTTAACGAAAGTTTCTCGCCACCGCAAATGTCTGTACAAAAAGCTCGCGTTGGCGTGTTTAATCTTATTTTATCAAATGATGTTTTGGCTGTTGTGAAATTTTCAAAAAAAAAAAAAAAAAAAAAAAAAAAAAAATATCGTCATTGGTAAGTACAAGGTACCTTAAATGGAACTACCAGATTAGAATCATCATTTATTTCCAGTTCTGTTGCAAAACGTCAGCTGCAGAATGTCACCAAATTATGTGTATAGCTTAATGTACAACATTAGTACATTTAGGTACTAATGTTGTATCGTATGACACTGTGAAGGTTTGGTACAGAAAGTTCAAAAACAAGGATGATGACATTCAAGAAGCAGAGCGCTCTGGCCGGCCTACTGATATTGATGAGGCCCGCCTGCGATAACTTGTGGAAGAAGATCAGTATGCAACTATTCGAGGGCTTGCTAAGGAATTAGACGTTAGTGCCATGTCCATTAGTCGCGCTAGGCATCGCATAAACTTAACGTACAAGTTCAATCGCTGGGAGCCGCACGAGCTGATTCAAGTAGATAAGGACAGACTTGTTCAGGCCTGCACTAATCTGCTCGAATATCAAAGGAAGAACAAAGTTCTGGACCGTATTGTCACTTTTTATGAAAAATGAATTTACTTCAACAACACAGGCCGAAGAGGCGGTTGCTCTCTACCCGGTGAGTCGATCTCAAAGCGCAATTTGATTGTCCTGCTTGTATTTGGTGGGATAGCCGTGGTATTATCCACAAAGAGTATCTGGGAAAAGGTAAACCCTCAACAGTATGTGCAACGAGATCCTAGTCCGTATTGATGTTACTATCAAGGAAAAACGTCGAACTGCGTTCCAGCACAAAAAGGTAGTTCCATCAAGATAATACAAAACCACATGTGTCTGCATGCACCACATGTGTCAACTTGATTCTGTACGAACTCAAATGATGTCTTTTTCCACACCCACTATATAGCTCTGACATTGCACCTTTGGACTTCTACCTTTTTTCACACCCGCAGCTACATCTTGTGGTGCTGTCTTCCATTCTGCAAGTCCGAAGTGAGGTTGATCTGTTTTTGGACTTCCGACCACCAAGTTTCTGGTTCGAATTGCTTTGAAAAAACTTCAAAAAGATTGGCAGAAAATCTTAGATTTGGATAATGATTACTAACGTGCACTAAAGATACTGCTTTCATTTTCAACTAACTTTTTAAGAATGTTTTTTGGAGGAAAACTTCCGCTTAATATTTTATTTAAAATTCCGTTCCAGATATTTAAATCTGTAATATTTTATAAATCAAAACTTTGATGTATACGTCGTTTTTAAATTGGTTCTATCTTTTTCAAATTCTCGTCGCATTAGCTAAGGTTGGGTCAGGTTATGTTAAGCGATTTGAATATGGCAGAACACAATAAAGCCATCTGCCTATGCGGACGGACATCTTCATGGAAGAATCTGTAAGAGAAACTTTTCAAATTACACATGGGAAAAACCACGAAAATGCAGCCAACTTATTCTCCTGGGTTCAAACCCGAGACGAATTACCAGTATTTAGCCATCTTTAAGTGGTCGGCAAGAGCTCACTTAGTTTAAAATAAAAGCCAGGTTATTAGTTTCTTATGTCCTATTTGATATTTAATTTTTAAAACATGTTCTGAGGCACAGAAAGCAAAGTTTCAGTTGTGTTAATGCGTTCATCTATAAACTGCCAAACCGTAGTGTAAATGAATGTTTAGTTTTTGCATTGTTCTCGCTTAGTGTCCTTGGATTCTACGAGAGGATAACTTCCCTTCGTTTTTGGTAGGTAACAGGTAATTATATTTTCATATTAAATAATATTAGGTTTATCTTACAAAAAGATATGTCAAAGCAATTCTACAGTTTTAAAGGTTTAGCCGATAAATTAAATTGCTGAGAATTAGACAGACGATTATTAAATTTACGTTATTCGGCCGAAAAACGTATTCCAAATACGTTTTATTGCATGAAAATGCATTTTACCACAGATTAATAAAGCCCCTTCTGCCCAGAAAATAAATGTACTCGGTCATCCCACGTGGTTTCTAGATCTGTC